TTTACCTCATATTATAATCCATAAATAAATTGGCTGATAAAAGAAATGTTATGCCACTTGACATCAATTGCTAGTTGTCAAAATTGTAAAGCATATGATATCATTGATCAATTATCTTATTGCAAGATATGAATCTTATCAATTATAACACAAATTGCATCATATTTTCTATTTATAGATTAAAACTTCACCAAAATAGTCTCTAAATTATCCAATATTGGATCTTATTATTCAAGAAAAGAATAAAATTATGATAATGCCAAACCTAAAAGAAGTGTATCAATGAATCTAACTTGTGATCTTAGGATTGAATAGCTTTGACGTTGGATTTTAATCACAAATTATACTTAATTGATAAATCCTTGAAATTTAGATCTTGTGCCATCAAACTTCTCAAATAAGACAACTTTGAGTTTTCTAATACTAGAAGAATGTTTTATTATATGAAAATGAATGTAATTTGGTGTACATGTTGAAGCAGCTCCAATCATATTTGCATCTTCACTTCCTACTATTTTTATTGCTCTTGGTAGTGATAAATTAAGTTGATGCATCACAAGCATCAATTCTTTCAATTGTTCTAATATTTATGCTATTGCATTCTTTATTTCAAGAAGCATTGCCATGATAACACTTCGAAAAAAAATGTCTTATATCACTCAAGACAAGCAAAAGAGAGGACTTCAGAATAAAGAAAATACTAAAAATAATATTAGTTTAAAAGAGGATAATCCACAACTTCAAATATGCTTATGTTTCATCAAGAGAAGGAATAATCTATTCTTAATCAAGAAAAGATTAAACTCTAATACTATAAATGTACTCTTGTTAATTTATCAAGAACATGAACTAAAAGAAGATGCATAAATCTGAGAAATTTGTGTCAAAAGAAAAGTGACAAAAATAAAAATAAAAAAATATGTATATTAAAAAAAAACTAGAATGGCTATTATCAAAAGACAAAGAAACTAGAGGCTCTTAAAATTAGACTAGAAATAAGAAAAGAGTTGACAAGAGTCAAAAAAGGCTTCATTTTGACTTTATATATACTATCTATCTAAGATCTATGTGGGGACATTCTATAGGACCTCCAAAAACATGTTGACTTTGCATGATACATATCTTGACTTGTAAGGCAAGTTTCCTATATGGACACTACATCATTAACTTATTCCACAAACTACCAATACATGTGCCACATAGATAGTTTGTTGACTAAGTTTCTAATCTACCAATCAACTACAAACTTACATAAAGTCAAAATATTATCTAAAAAGCTTTTAGGAGGTATTTTGAAATTAATCTATTTTTATCTAATTCTACCTATTCATATTATCTATGTAATAATTATATTAGATATATATTTATAACATCTTTTATATTTGAATGAATGTGTTAAAAAGACATTGGTATTACTATTAAGTTAAAATAATTTTGAGGTCTATTTTTATAACTCTCGGATCAAAATTTAAAAAATTGGTTGTTATATTTCATAGCAAAGTCAATTGATTTACTTAAAATTTAAGGATTAAATAAATTTAGTTTTAATTTTTTTATCTCATATTTTAATCTATAAAGAAATTGATAAATAAATGCAGCATCATTTCTTTTGATATCAATTACAAGTTGTTAAAATTGTGAAGTATTCAACATTATAGATCAATTGCTTTGATACAAAATATGGATCTTGTTTTTTGCAACACAAATTGCATCATGTTTTCCATATATAAATTAAAATTCTACCAAAAAAATCTCTAAATTATCCAATATTAGATTATGTCATTCAAAAAAAGATAAAATCATGATAATATAGAATTTAAAAGAAGTGTACTAATAAACATGACTTGTGATCTTAGAATTGAATAGTTTTGGGGTTGAAGTTCAATTACTAGTTATATTTGATTGTTAAATCTTCAAAATTTTGATCTTATACCATCAAACTTCTTAAGCAAAGCAATTCTTGGTTCTCTAATATTTGAATAGTGTTCCATTATAAGACAAGTAGTATGATTTGGTATAAATGTTAAAGTAGCTCCAATCATCTCTATATCTTTATTACATGCTAATCTTGTTGCTCCTTGTGGTGATTAATTGAGTTGATATATATGAAGTATTAATTTCTTCAATTGTTCTTTTATTTGTGCTATTGTACTCTTTATATCTGCAAGCTCCGCTATGATTACACAATAAAAAAGAAGATAACTAATATTTCTTAAGATAAATTGAAGAGAAGACTCAAGAATAAAAAACTTCTAAGAATAATATTAGTTTAAAAGTAGGTAATTTGCAACTTCTAATATGCTTATGTCTTATTAAGAAAAATGAATAATTTAATCTTAACCAAGAAGAGACAAAGTTTTGATATTATAAGTATATTCTTATCAATTTATTAAGAATAAGAATTCAATGAAAGCAAATAAAAAAGTGAGATTTTTTTCAAAAAAAGATGACAAAATAGAAATAATATATATATATAAATTAAAACGAAACTAGAATGACTATTGCAAAAAGTCAAGAAAACTAAAGATCCTTGAAATTAGGCTAGAAGCAAGAAAAGAGTTGACAAGAGTGAAGAAGGCTTCATTCTTACCTCTATATATACTATCTACCTAAGAGCTATGTGGCAACATTTTATAGGACCTCCAATACATGTCTAATTTAGAAGATACATGTCTTAACTTGTAAGGCAAGTTTCTTATATGTGTGCAACATCGTTGGCTCATACCACAAGCTACCAATACATGTGACATATGGCTAACTTGTTGGCCAAGTTTCTAATCTATCAATCACCTATAGACATGTATAAAGGTAAAACTGCATCTATGAAGCTTCTAAGAAGCTATTCTAAAAGATATTATAAAATGAATATATTTTTATTTATTTATATCTATTCATATTATCTAAATAACTATTAAAGTAAGTATGTATGTCCATGACATAAAGTCATAATCAACAATAATTTATGGTAATTGTCATAAGAATCTTTTTCACCTTGTAGTTCTCAAAATCAAATATAATAATTTCAATTAGTCTATCTTTAATTTATGTTTTTACAATATTTATTACTAAAATTTTAAAAAAATATAATAATTTGTTTTAAATAATTTTATTTATTATATTAAAATTATTTTAATTTTTTGATATGCTATTTAATTTAAATCTATTTTATAGATTGATTAGTTGAGAGTTGAAAATATTGATTTTCAAAATTTCAAAATTTCAAAAAAAAAATATCCAATAATAATTCAGATCATTTATAAAAATAAATAAAAAATAAATAGTAATGATTTTCACAATATAATGTACATTTGACCTCTTTTCAGCAACAGTGGTTTTCAACACTTTGCATGGATGGTATCTAATCTGTTAAATATCCCTTATTGATTTTATTTTTTTTGATAAAATATGTTATTGATAAAGAGAATTAATCCATAAGTTTCAACTATTTAGATTCTTGAATAAATACATATTCATATATATATATATATATATATAGAGAGAGAGAGAGAGAGAGAGAGAGATGTCAATATACAAAAATGATTATTTCAACATTGAATTTTATTTAAATTTTAATTTAATAAATTAATAAGTTAAATAACAAACAACACACCTCTTCAAACAATGAAACTAATTCTTCATCACACATTTAATTTCTTGTATAAAAATAAAATAAAATAAAAAAGAAGCTTCCAAAACGTGAGAGCATGATTTGGAAATCTCACCGACCACAGGTTCAAAATCGTTACACACAACCCAGATTCATAAGTAAACAAACCTTCTTCGATTCATTATGACGAGATTCAATGAGGACAGATTCAATGCTGAAATATCCATTGGATCATGAGCGGTTTGAGTCTCAATGGAGAAAAGTCACACATATAGCTATCATTCAGGAATTGAAATGAAAGGAAAGGAAAGGAATCTGGTGGAATCAATCCCCCACTCACCTCGATCAGTCTTCTATCGATCGACATTTATCACATGGCTTTTGCCAACTCTGCCATTAATGGAAACACTGGGTTGTCTTCATGTGTTTCAACCTGGTCTTGGAAAGGGGGTCAATCAAAGAGTTCTTAATAGTGGACTAAAGAGCTGTGGAGATGGAACTTGGACTGCAAATGCAGCGGCGGTGCTCTTGATGTCGTCGAGGCATAAACAGAAATCATACACAAGTTGACAATGAAGTCCTCCAAGCAACTTGCCGACCTAGACGCATTTGGTCTGCTACAAGCAGCAATTCCTCATCAATTGTGTGTTTGGCCTTTAATGGTGAGGAGCTTCCCTGCACGAGAAAGTGGGTCGCATTCATCACGGTTCAAGTCTCAGTAATCCAGCGCTTTCTTCCAATTGAAGTTTAAGAGAGTTTAAGAGAGTTCGGTGATCATTGACGACCCTGGCAGCTAGTGTGGCTCCTGAACCATCATCACCCTCTCGACAAGCTGTGGCGGCGGACGTGTTTATATAACCATCGCTTCAGTGGTCGGAAACGCTACCATTGACTACTGCTATTATAGTTCTACAATCAATCCTTCGACAAGATGAGTTTGATCATGAGAGGTGGCTGTAAGTTCGGATCCAGCTCGAGCATATATATTCGGTCGATCTAAGGATCAGTCTCAAGTTGGTGGTACAATTTCTTACTTGCTTTGCGTCACTGGGCAGCGATCTGAGGGGGTTGATCGAATTGAAGTCGTGTTCTCATGATTCGAAGTAATGCGAACATTGTGGTTGTTGGATTCACGCCTAGCCAGTGAGAACGACAAGTTAAACGCGACTATGGAATGGTATTGATCTCGTTACGAATAAACACCCTGAGGAGGATCTGCTTTCAATGTATACCTTCAAACGTGCACCTGATGCGTGTGGAGAGAATGCTGCGCGGTTCAATTCGTGTATATGGCCAACTTACGACACCTGACAAGAAACACTATCCTCTGAATCCGATTATCTCACAACCAGGTCAATCAACAAAGAATGGACCCCAAGTTGCACAGTTTAGATTTTTATCCAAATGAATATCTTAGTAGGTCAAAATATATGCAAAAAATTGGTGTATAAGCCATGCATGGGTCTGTTCGTTGAAGTCTCCTGCTAGGTTCAATGTTGTAGAGAATGTACATGATTAAAATGAGACTGCCACTATCCGTAGCATCGAATTTTAACTAAGCCCGACGTCCATAAGATGTCTAGATCTACTATTCCACAGCGCCGGCACTACCAGCAGGTAGGTTTAATATCTTACAAGAACTATTCGTTTGTCCAAGCAGAAGCAGTGAACAAGTAAAGATCCTTCCATCCGAGCTTCAGAGTACCTCGGTGCTCCAGGAGTGTATACCCTTCGCAGGGAAACAGGCCCTGAAGTAGCAATGCCGCCTGGTGGGCTGCCTTGCCACTCAAGGAAACGGGTTTAAATCGTTTGCCTAACTCGTCACGCCACTGGTCGAACTTAGCCTCGCCCGTGCGCGCTGGACCACCAAAGGCTAAAATGTTTTTGATCTCGCACGACAGGAGTTGCTGCTCAACCATGTGGCGCTCGGGGCTGTCGGCCTTGTAACTGGCACCCAGGGAATCGAACAAAGCAGAATAGTAGTGAAGAGCTTCAACGAACCGGCTCAGGAATGTTCCACCATGTCGAAGGTCTTGCTCGACGAGAGTGATGACCTTGGGGTTCAGCTTCTCGATCAAATTCAGTGTGTTGAGATCGGATCCAGTTACGTCGTAGAGCGAGTGGTGCATCCAGTGGACTGCAACAGCATCTGAGAATTCCACTTTTAATGTTGAAAGGTCGACGTTGCCAATCTTGTCGGCAACCGCTGTGAATTCGAACGAGATATTGAAGCTCGCAGCAAAGTCGGTCAGACGCTTACCAGTCGCTTCAAGAGTCTCGATTGAAGTTCCTAATCCCGTGATGTGCACATGCGGAGGTCCTCCAGGTCTAGATGCCAAGAGTTGAAAAAGCGGCGGCCACTGCAACCCGTGCATTATGTCGATATCGATGACATGCACGTTGAACATGCCCTCGAAGGCATCGAAGATGGCCTGATTGGCAGTGAAGTGAGAAAATTTTACGAAGGGGCATATTTCATTGAATACCTGCATTGCCGAAAGAAAGCTTTGGTTGCTGACGAGCTGCTTGCTTGAAAGAGGAGGGCATATACCTAAGCAGTAGGTCACCAAACGAGACGCCATGCCTTCAGCGAAATACGCAACCACTCTTTGCACCGACGTACCGTAAGGGGTTGCTAGTTCACTTAACTGTGGAAGAATCGAGTTGGCCTGGTCGAAATCGTCGGAGGAAACGGCCTCAGCGCATTGCAGCAACAGTGCCAAGAGCTGCAGCCCTTCTTCGTCAGTTGCATTAGGAGGTTCTGGTTGTGCGTTCCGAGGTGTGCTTTGCGGCACATTTTGCGGCAGGGATACGGCATCATTAAAACCCCTAGTGTTCAGTATTGGGTACTGAGCGGCGTTAGAAGGCGGTGAAAAATCGTTTTGAATTTCTCCAGACTTTTGTTGCTGGTGTTGCAGGTGTGGTTGAAAGTAATGCTGGTGCTGAACTGGTTTGGTCGTCTGATCTCTTGATCGCAGAACCTGGTGGCTATATTGATCCTCTGGCATTGGCTGCTGGGCGGTGTGCAAATGACGGAGACTGCGTTCATCTGCGGGCTCTAGAGAAAGCTGCAGATTGTCGATGGTCCGTTTTTGAGGTCTTGGATAATGAAGTTCGTCTCTTGCAAGCGAGGCAACTGCGTTCTGCTCCATGAAATTATCTGGTCTGACGTGGTGATGGGAGGGCGTATCCTGATATGCCCGGGCCTCATTCTGGGACGACTTTGCATTTCTCCACCCGATTTGACCTTCACGTGTCCTCTTGCCGAATCTGGATGGACCCGTATGCAAGAAAGTTTGAACTCGCAGCCCCGCGCCTCCATAAAGCGACTGAACTCGAGATCCAATAATTCTTTCCAATTGGGAATTTGATGGAGCCAGAACCTCGGACAGATTTGTTAATATTTGCTCGATCGGTACTCCAGGCATGGCTTCCATCATCTCCATGATCATCCCATCAACCCAAGCAGCCACAGAATCTTCGTCCATTCCTGAAAAGTGGTCCTTCACGGCCTCTCTTGCAGGTTGGACACCGTAACCGTAGTTCCCGTGCTGCTCCATGTCATACTGACAAGACAACTGGTGGTGAGGACTTGGGGCATCTTCGATCTTCCCCCAGCTATCTCTTGGGGCCGCATTCATGAGTGATGGTGGGTTCTGGTACAGCTGATTTCCGTTGCAGCTCGCTGTTTGGGTGCTACCGGAGAAGAAACCACCGGCGCTACCGCCAGATTGCACTTGAAGACTCGCAGGGAGAGCACCAGGGAAGCTAGTATTTGACAATCCTGAACTGAGATGATCCGAGAATGAACCGTCAGAGGGAAACGGTGAGTTGTTGCTGCCCAAGGGCGAGACAACCCAACCAGCAGCAGAAGTAGATGGGAACGACTGGGAAGTAGAATCGTAACTCGACCAGGAAGATATTTGCCCAGTACAGTTCCACTTTGCCCCCACCCCGAAGTCCAAGTCTGGCAAATGAACTCTATGTTCCTGTAACTCACCTCTTCTCTCAGCATCTTGAGGGTCACGACCACCTGTTTCGGGGCCGCTGTGAAAAGGATCTCGCAAGTTGTCCGTCATGCGTAATTGATCTCTATAACCAGGGAAACCTACATTATAATGCGTGCGGGATCCTACTCCGGTGGGTTCCTTAGTCACGAGCCCCAGTCTCTCTCTTGGATTAGGACATACCAAAGCCATACTCACCGTATTGCCTGCTCTCCCGAACTCAAGTCCACGTCCAAACTACCATCTCTGACAGAGGTGCAGGATCCCCAATAAACCTTTATTCGGTAACTTACTCTTTCACACCAAGTTCTCGCCCTAGGATTACTAATTACAACGTTGTAAACAGACCTCTCTACTGGTTCCGAATCGTTGCTCGAATACTCAATCTCGTACCTGTGAATTAACGAACATCCCTCGTCGAGAAAGGCATTGTCTCCAACTTCATGGGAGCAGCTAACACGCAAGAGGACCTATATCCAGTGTTGATGAGTTTGTCAAAGCGAGAGCAAATTTATCTATCAATGGAATAGTTTCCGTATTTTTTAACACCCCTTCATGTTACACCCGCTAGCGACTCCAAGAAAGGATCCTAGCCAAGTAACGGGTTGAGACGTCTAGCCCACTACAGAATTTAAGCGCAGGGAAACATCCTCAAGAAAGACGAACCAGGACCAAAAATAACTCCAACGATCCAGAGTAGCCACATCGCCACTGATTCTCAGTCAAGGAGCGCGAATAAACAGTCTCGACAATTAAAACCTAGTTCACCATCTCCATCCCTCCGTGTGTGTGTGTGTGTGTCTCTCTCTCTCCCCTACTCTCTCGTCAATCACCAGAGATAGCCTAGCAAGAGCCCATCCTGGGTTAAGAGCTCGCGAATATAACTTCATAATATGTATGATGACGGAGGGAGGCGGCATACAGGTGAAGACCGAGCAACCTTCTTCCACATTGACGGCAATGAAACTGTACTCTGAAAACCGGCAATCGATTATTGGTCCAGCCCATCCAGCAGAGACGAACCAGGAGCTGGTCGGCATGTAGGGCTCACGTCACGAAATTCGAACCGCCGTGCGTCGTTGCACCAAACTTTAGTTCTACTATTATTCAATCAATGGTTAACATTGAGGGCTGCTGAGTTCAACGTCCTTCTATTCCCCTAGAATTTCCTGACGCAAACAAAGACTGCCCCAAAATTTCTAACCTTAGAAACTCGTTATCCCAGCCTTTGAATATACCCCAATACAGTGTGGTATATAATAATGGCACGCAGATCCAGGCTTTTTGTGAACTGGCTCAATCAATAGAAAGTAATAAATTGTATCTAATTTATAGGTCAGAAGCCAATAATCTGCTTAATTTGGTAACATAGTTCCAACGACATGCCATGCTTCCAAAGCCACTCTTCTGGGTTGATTTTTTTAATTTCGAATTACACTGAATTCAGGAGATGTTTAATGAATGAAATGTTGGTATTCCATCAGATGACTGAGAATTCGCAGCCGCACTTGATTCTGTTCGCTCAAGTTGGTAAAATAGGACTGCATTGTCTGGTTCCTTTTTGAGGGCAAGATACATTGACATGCGCTATCTACACACATAAGCCCTTGTGACATGAAGGAAACACTTTAGATGACGTCTGAATAATAGCAATCCTTTGGTTGGTTATAGTTCGCACTAAGATTTTTCCGAATTATTTTTTATGAAGTGGTCCAGTTGGTTCTAGACATTCGTTCAGAAGCTGGGCGGCGGGTCTTGCATGGTAAAGCCTGGTACTACCTGAGCAGCGGCCGCCCTTTTCAATCAGGCTACTCAACTCGGCACAAATTCCCACAACTCCACCACATCTGCAAAGCTGTCTATTGACATGGCTCAGTGAGATCGCACCTAAACCTGGTTCAGCTTTTCGCAGCACTACACTTGCCTTATCTCAACGTGTCCAATTTCCTTCGGAATATCTTTCTCTATCGGCCAAATATTGTAACACTCTAGTATACATAAGTAGCACATACCATGTACCAGAGACCTCTACGAAGACCGAAATCATGAAAAAAAATGTCAGGATAATGAACAACGCGTATTATCCTGCCATATTCCAACTTGACGCTCCTTCCTCGTACACACTTCTTTCCAAACTTTATGTATATTCTCGTGAAAGGATGATTTAATTTGTAAATAAACATATATATATATATATATATATATATTTATATTTATATTGAGGAATGACGTAACCATCGAGTCTGCTGCGGAACCTGGTGCTGGAATTAGAGACGTAGTGGAAGCTTCAGATGTGTTTAAGAACAATCCTGGCACGTCACTTATGGAGAGAGCAGGCAACTTGCTGACAGAGCACCCCTCCCCCTCCAGGGTACTTCGAGAGGAAATTTAAGGCGCTGCGACGCCCTGTTACTGACAGTATATTTTCCTCATCATCATCGTCCGGCTCGAATCTTTGCCTGAGACTGGAGAAGTCAGTTGTTACTTATACCCCAGCCCGTGAATGGTTAATACAGCAGCTTGATATCTCAAACGCGCTAGTGCCACACTTCCACCAATCATTCTCCTCTAACCAACTTGCTGCGTCCCCCCCCCCCCCCCCCCCTGCTTCCCCAGTCAGGAGTTAAAGATGAAGCTAGTGAACTAGCTGGGTACCGGCAATGGAGTACTCGAAAACCGGGGGCCAGATTCCTCCATGCTCTGCACCTCGGCCTTCACCGGTTACGGAACCGCCAGGCAGATCATATTTTTTAAATCGACAGCAGCAGAGCTGACTAATCCTCACCCTACGCCCTTCCCACACATCGGTTGCGTCTTTCTGAACTTACAAAGCTTTGAAAGAGGCAAAGGCTGATACAGTTCCTTGCAAGTTCCAGACATGCTTCTTCCCGGCAAGGCTACCAGACCATCAGTCGAACTGAGCAACACAGGCTCTGATGGCGTTGTCATGCCAGGCTGGGGCAAGCAACCAAGCGCCATACTCCCGTTTGGTTGTCCATACACTCTCTCGCTGATAAGGCCAGAGATCAAGCTTCACCCAGCGATTCATGCTAGTTAATCATGCTTCCTAGACACTAGTGTGATCATCAGGCTACGATTATCCTCGTTGCAGTGGCACGTAGGGTAAGTAAGTTTGATAGGTTTGTGGGTGAGAAACTCTGCACACTTACACTTACACACACACTTACATACACACACAAGTGCTATGAGCACACTGCACCCAAAAGACTGAAAAAAAAACACTTCATGAGTCAATTATCCGCGCCTGGGTGTTGCAAATGATGAGCCTGCGCTTACCAGGTTGGTATCAGAACTAGGGCTAACTCCTTCTCCCTCCTCCTACTTCCTACTCCTCATCAACGCAAGCTGATAACCCTACTACGGTCAAACGCATGATCATTCCGCTAAGACCCCTGATTTCTCATGCTTGTGGGCTTTGTGTTATAGATTCTTGTCTCGTGTTAACCCAGACTTTCTTATCCACTGCGGAGAAAAAACAGACCGCTGACGGTAAAACTCATAATCTGGGCAAAAAGAAAGATAAAAAAATCACTCCTGTAATAATCATAATAATAATAATAATCAAAGTCAAACTCTGCTGCATGGTTGTGAAAAGAAGTTTATCAACAAGCGTTCTTGGGGGGGAACTCTTTGTAAATTTAAGGGAAAAAGTAAATAAAGTTACATTTCCATATCTATCAATCTGTATATCAATCTCTCAATCTATCTATGTATGTTGTTACCAGCATTTCTATGTTTTCTCACTTGTGTGCCTTTCTGTCAAACCACCCATATTATTATTATTGTCACCACGTTTTCTTTGATATATATATATATATATAGAGAAAGAGAGAGAGAGAGAGAGAGAGAGAGAGTATTATTATTTGTTTATAGCCACCGCAGCCAGCGAAGTTTGTGAGTAGAGTTGGTGACAGGGATGAAATAACTATGTGAAAGTAACAGTGTAATTCTGGAATATACACACACATGCACATAAATGATTGGCTCTCATGAAGGCAAGGAGAGTCCGAGCTGGCAGCTGAGGTGGCACAAGGGAAGGATGGTGAGGACAAGTTGGGTGAATTCCACGTCACTCCTCTGGTGCTGATGTGGCAATACACGCGAGCAAACTGGCAACATCGATACCTGCTCAGAAGAGTGGATAAGCGGGTATCAACTCCACTATTGGTATCCATGTATTTATTGTCTTGGAATTTATTTTTTGTAAATTTTTGAAAAAATAATAATATCTGGTTTGTGTAGAATTGTTTGAATAATTGTGTTCCTTGCCATGTGTGTTTATGAACAGTGAATTTTTGTTATCGTAACAGATAATTTTTTGGTGTTTGTATATTCACCACAACGGTAAGAACTTATAATTGACATCAAATAAATTTCTGTTGACCCTTAAGCTAATTTCCACAGAATGTAATTTGCAATTAATAATGTGATGTTGAATCTACTCAACATAAAGACATTGATATAAACACATTGGATAGTTCCTCAATGAAACCATGAAAGTTTGATATTTTTAGAAACAAATTATTTAACATATTCAAATGGGTCAATATGACAAGTCCAAGTGAGATAAGTTTGTCTCAAAAAACAGCCACACTTAGTGTATATTATGCAACAGAAGAAAATATAGGCTACAACTAATGCGCTTGCTAAGATTTTACATTGAATCTTCCAATATCTCATTTTACTTACTTACCACTTTTATCATTGCATGCTGTTCATGCTTTTGTATAAAGATTTAAAGGATGTACAAGTTGGGGTCAAACCTCACTGCAGAGGCCAAATGTTTTCCATGCACAATCATTCAAGTTGACATCCACGTCATAAACATTAGTAATTTTACTATTAAAAATTTTAAAAAATGATTTTGATTTTATAGAAGGTTGTGTAATAAGTTGCAACAATATACCTAAAGACCAATTTTAAAAATCCATTATCAGTATTATTGATTCTATTTTTAAAATTTTAAAATTTTCATAAATCCTTCAATGTATAATTTAGAATTTGATCAAATTTAGTTGGTAATATTATATATTTTAACGTAATTAAATATTTGATTTAGTTATTTCGGTTTTTTTGACATAAATTTATCCAATCATGTTTGGTGTAAAATTGTGTCTTTAATAACTATTGAATTAATTTCGACACTATATTACGTTTGGTTAAAATCCAATAGTTGAAATTAATAATGGTATTAAACCTTCTCTGCATATTCTTTCAAAACACTAAACAATATCAACAGTGATATTTTTGCATCATATTTCATGTTCGTATCATAAATCTTTCAATTATTGCATATATCTTAAACAAATCCAAAGTCATCTACTACTTAAAATATGTTGCATCGTTTCATTCATAACACACAAATGTTAGATTATATACTGGCTTTCTTTTCCGTTTTTTTTTTTTTTGTTTCTTGCAACAAATAACAGAAGAGCTGTTTCTTTCTTTGCAAAAGCATAGATTGCAATTAATTGATATGGACATGAACACATATGAAAGTATTAGTACGAAGAATAATAATAAAAATTAAGAAGTAAAACAGTAGTAGATTAGCAATAATAATAATAATAATAATAATAATAATCACAAAGCAATGATGTTAGCATTTGATGCATAAAACCCATCTCGTCGTAGAGAAACCAACACATCTATTATTAGCAACACTGGACACAACATGGGTCCTTTTTGTATGATTAATGAGCATTCTGATAGGAACCTCCCATCCGGAAAAAGCAACACATCTTAAAAAAAGAAAAATCTGAATGATGCTGCCGCTGATCAGTGGCTTGTGCAACGGAAAACCGACACCTTACACCACAAAAATAAATGGAAAGAACTTCTTTTCGTTTAAAATATGTTGCATCGTTTTTTTTGAAGCTATGCGAAGGCTACCACTAGCAGACGAGTTACGTTCTTACCCTTCAACTGTATATGTATTTATATATAAGAATGGCGTCTCCACATGAATGATTCCTGCACCAGCTGTGTGGTCAAAAGCACCACATTTGTTGATTCTCAAGGTGTATATAAGTAAAAACAGCGCTATTGAAAAGTTGGTATAGTTTGAGCAAATGACAGG